CCTCGAGGAACTAGGGTTACATATGTAACCTGAGGCGTTCCTCAGTTGAGAGACCGGAAGCTATGAGTTGTGCCCCCTCAGGGGCCACACCCACAATTTCCACAGCTCCGGGCAGGGGTGGATGATCATACCCTCCACCTGTGAGAGGAGATCTCTCCTGACGGGAATCTCCCACGGAGCACGGTCGAGGAGAGAAATCAGGTCCGAGAACCATACTTGACCCGGCCAGAACGGGGCTACTAGCAGAAGACGGACTCCGTCCCGGCGCACTCTCTCCAGAACTCCCGGGAGCAGAGCGATCGGGGGAAAGGCGTACAGACGAAGCCTCGGCCACGTCTGTACCATGGCATCCAGCCCCAGTGGAGCTGGAGGACTTAGCGAGAACCAGAGGGGACAGTGCAATGTCATGCGAGTCGCAAACAAATCCACCTGGGCCTGGCCAAAGACTCCCCATATCTGCTTCACCACCATGGGGTGAAGCATCCAATCCCCGGGCCTCGGCCCCTGCCTCGACAGGATGTCTGCCCCCAAATTGAGATGCCCAGGGATGTAAACTGCTCTCAGCGAGAGAAGTTTGCCCTGGGACCACACAAGGATCTGGTACGCTAGTTTGCACAAACGGCGTGAACACAGACCTCCCTGGTGGTTGATGTAAGAGACCACCGCTGTGTTGTCGGTACGCACCAACACATGGTGACCTCTCAGGTCTGGGAGGAAGTATCTCAGTGCATGCAGCACGGCCAGCATCTCCAGGCAGTTGATGTGCCACATGAGATGGTGACCACTCCATAGACCACGGGCAGGGTGGCCACTCATGACCGCTCCCCAACCGGTGAGGGACGCGTCCATCGCTAGCATCACGCGACGACAAGGAGCTCCCAGCACCGGGCCCTGAGCAAAGAACCAAGGTTTCCTCCACATGTCCAAATAGGAATAGGCATCGCCGCGTGACCTTGAACATGCGAAGCAGGTTTCCCCTCGGGGATAACCCCTTGGTCTTGAGCCACCACTGTAGGGGCCTCATGTACAGCAGGCCAATAGGTATCACGAACCGGCAGGGAACAACCGAACCGGCTGCTCTAGAGACCTCCGCGGAGGTGGCGAGCCTCTTAGCACCGCTACGTTGCCGGGCGGTGACTGAGAGTGGTGCTTGCGGGAGACCGCTGCGCCCTGTAACTCCGGCAGGGTTAGCAGATCGGTCTCCTGAGGGCACTGAGGCGAGACGGACACCGTGTAATGCGGTGAAACCCACTGCACCCCAGAGGGGACTGCCCTCATAAGTCCTGGGCCAGTGGCGTCAGGACTTTTTGGCCAAGGACCTCCTAGACTTAAGTACGGTTCGAAGATCTGGCTTAGCCTTGGAGGCCCCCGACCTAGAACGCTGCCTCGCTCCCGTGTCTCGACACGGGGGAGCACGCGAGGCCACGCTCTGTTTC